ACAGCATAGGATATTTGTTTATGCATCACCCTGTATGGTGTAATGGCCAGGCCCTGGGGTGGATAAGGATATTCTGGATCATAGGGGTTGGCCTATGAGGCTGTGCTGCAAGAAACTAGGCTCGGAACAGTCTGTCCCCACAGCATCCCAGGGGAGGAGCAAAGCTGGGGAGTTTGATGCTCACACTTTGTGCTGGAGGATGTTGTCGTACTTCAGGTCCCCACAGGCTCTTGGATCATGACAGTATTTGGCAGCACATGAGAACTGGGAAAGTGGGTTTTGGCCTAAATCTTCAGGCAGTGCCCTGCTGCTTGTAACACATTCCAACAGGTCCCCAAGCACATTCCTGGCCACATGGTGCTCCTGAGGGCCCCAGGGCTCACAGCTCCCCAAGCTCATGCTTGTTGATATCCCAGCTCCAGGCTCAATTTCCTCTCCCATGTTAAACTGTACATTTAGGTTTGGAAGAAGCACCTCCCTGGAGGTACCAACCTGAGCACAACAACAGCTCCTGTGGGGACAGAGGCTCAAGAAATCCCACAGAAGCCCCTGTTCCCTGCCTGCAGGTTGGCAGCTGACCTGTGGGGCCGTCAGTAACTGAGGGGGAGCAGGAGCCCTGAGAGGGCAGAAGTAGCTGTACATCCATCAGGAAACCCCTTGAGAAAAGTTTGCTGCTGGGTATACTGAGTGATTGGTATTAACTGGGAAACTGGTAAAATTGGGTTCAAATCGTCCTTATTGGAATTGCAATGTTTTAGTTAAGAACTACGAATTGTAACAAGAGTAGGAAGCACCTCATTGTAAATATTAAAAAATATATTAATAGGTTTTGACTTCGAATAGGTGGGAAAAAAAAGCTGGAATTGCCTGCAGAGGAAAGTGTCAGCTCCCTGCTGACTGTGGGTCAGCTGTTGTGACTGGCCCCTGGCTGATCCTCTGTCCTGGTGCTGCCCAAACACCCCCCTGTGAGTGGAAGCTCCGGCTGAATTTGGGAAGTGGATGTGGATGCTAAACTGTCTTTTGATCCCACATGCCACCTGGGCTGCCCTCCATCTAGCACCAAAAGAGTTGTGGCACCAGCCAGCGACAGCCACCACCCTGCCTGGCTGACGTGCAGCAACACCCAGGGTCAAATTCCTACAGGCACCTGTCACTTGCAGGGCCACCAACAGTGACCTGAGCCACACAATTAGTTTTCTTTATGCATTTCCTCTCGGCCTGGGGACTGGGAATGCAACGTTTCCAGGAGCTATGGAAATACTTGGCTGGCTCTGGCACTGCGGGGTGCTGGCTGTGAGAATGTCCCAGCACCGGGCGCTGCTTGTCCGTGCCACCTGCAGACATGAAGACAGGGACTGTCTCATCACTGTGGGCAGAGGGGACCAGAGTAATGAAGAAGCAAAAGATGGGCAGCCTGGGAGCCTGCTGAGGCTGGGAAAGCCCAGAGCTTTGTGCCTCTGCTGCGGGATAGGCAAGGTGGTGGCACTGGGAAGTTCCTGTAGAGGCAGGGAAAGGCCATCTCAGAGAGATGGAGGGGACCTGGAAAGGCTGGCCCGGGATACAGAGGAAGCTGTTGGGGGCTGTCCCAGCGGGAATGGGAAAGGCTGTCAGGGAGTGATGGATGGATGGAAGCAGCAAAGGACACTCCAGCTGGCGACAGGGAAATGCTGTTCCAGGGGGAAGAGGGGACCGATAGAGGCTGTGCTGGGGGATTGTGGTGGCCATCAGTGGCCATCAGTGGCCATCCCGCCGGGGTCCCGGGGAACGTGGGGCACTCGGGGCGGCCCCGCCACCGCCCCCTGCCGGCGGCCCCGGCCCCGCCCGGCCCCGCCCACCGCCGTTAGGGGGCGGGGCGTGCGCTGATCCGCGCGCTCGGCCCCGCCCCCCTGACTGCCGATTGGGCGGGCGGCGCGCGGCGGGAGGGGGCGTG